CACATTGTAGTCCTTGTCGTTTGACCTGGCTTCCATTGTTGTATCCTGAACCATGGTTTATCCAGAACTTGCTCTTCTGGATAGTCCACATGTATCGAGAGCCGTTCCTGGGGCAAATCTACATGCTTGGATACACAGAGACTATCCAGAACTGTGCCTGTTCCTAATCCTAACCCATTCATGCATAGAGATAGGTAGGCATGGTTCTGGATACGATATCCATCCAGCCTAAAGTGTGTTTCTGTCCCTGGTGCTGAAACCTTGGCTGTTGTAGCACAGATGTCAAACTAGGTGATGTCACTCCCTTCTTTTCATGTGCACAGCCTTAAATTGACTCAGATGACAGAAGCAAGAGTAGTTTTTATAAATAGCTTCACCTGGTTGATAAACCTGTAGATCAGAGTTGCTTATGACCCTGTATTCTTTGCTAACATTTTGACAGCTGCTGCTACCTTCATCAGGGCATTACGAACTTTCTTGTTCTTTTCTGAGCTTGTATTAGGTACTTAAATAGTTGGTACGTCCACCAGTTATTTTATTTATTCTTTGCTTCAGGCCAGAGGCCCATAATAAAAACAGGGACAATACAAAAACAAGTACAAATACACAAATCACATACAGTCCACCACATTTTGTTCCTTTCTCGCACTTCAAGCTTGAAGACACCAACGAGGAAGAAGTGAAGGGTTCTGACGCTGAGTCCAGCAAGGGAAGTGAGGACCTGACTGCAGATGACAACAGCCTGACCAGCACGCTGACGGAACAGAGCGAGCTGACCGCGGAACAGCTGACGGCCGCGCGCACGAAGCAGAGGCCCGGGAAGAAGCCGGGGGGCAGGAGACACGTGCCCAGTCCTGCCGGCAGGGGCCTGAAGCAGAGGGTCACCAGCTTACAGCACCAGGTACTGTAGGTTCTTTTTTTTATTTCCGCACGGACTTGATTATGCACTAGAATGAGAAAGGAGTTTTTTTGCGGTGTTACAAGTTATGAGTTCAGCAGTTGGAACAGTTCAATGTAATAATATTTGAAATGCATAATTATATGTGGTAACATGACTTCTGCAGGGACTAGGAAGGTAAAAGAAAAGGAAACTTTTGCAGTGTTTGAAGTTCACAGTTGAAGCAATAATATTCTGTGTATATGTAGTGCACTGGCAATACGAAACACATTTTCAGAGTGATGTCTACATGTAGTATTAAGAACCTTATGAAAGTCACTGTACTTTTCTGGTGTCAATAAAGTTCTTTATATATTCACAGTGATATACTTTTGCATCAGAGATGTCACTGCAAAAACTACGAAATTCAATGTTAAACCAACATTTCAAGATTAGAGTAGTTACCGGAGCTCATGCATAACATATAAATTTTTTCCTGACCTGCTACACCAGGTTGCCACTCTGAAGGCTGCGAAGGAGAAGACAGCCAAGGCACTGTCCAAGCAGACGGAGGCTAATGAACAGCTGCAGTCTGACCTTGGGCTGGCCAACCAGAGGCTCAAGGTCACAAGGCAGACAGTGCAGGTGGGTGGCCATGGGGCACATTCCTTCTTTCATGTTCATCTGTGAATTATCATTTAAAGATTCCATGAAGATGTTTTAGCTGTGTAACCACTATAACTGCCCTTTAGCGTAACACACAGGCACACGGTGCAGCAGCGGTTGGCTATATTACGCTGGATGACCGGTTACACCTAACCTTTGTACATCTAGCTGCAAGCGTTTCTTGAACCTATCTAGTTAAGATGCCCCTTCACAAGTTCCACTCTACAATAAGTACTTGGGGGAAAACGGCATGAACAACTCAATCATGGATACAACTTCTTCAGGTTGTAAAAAGTATAGAATAAAGAAAAAGTAATCTGATTCCTGTTGTACAGAAGTTGACGACAGAGCTGGAGGCGTGTCAGACAGAGAAGGCCAGCCTGGAGAAGCAGCTGGCAGAGTTGGGCGACGCCTCCATCACCTCAGCCGGGAGTCACACCGCCAAGTCTCACACTCAGGCAGACTGGAAACACCTGGAGAACAGGGTCAGGACTACTGCTAATGAGGTAACAATATTTTGGATTCATCATCATCATCATGCCTCCAGATTAAGAATCCAGTGAGGTACACTTGATAAAGTTACTCCAGTATGTCCTATCCCTCATAGCAGACACTAGTGCAGTCCCTGCGAGACCAGTGTCTCTCTAACATGGACAAAAGTGTAGTATAAGGACGTCCTACTCTACGTCTTCCAGTTGGAAGCCACTGTACTGTACTAGTCTACCAGCTGGTTCATTACTGCGAACAACATGCCCTGCCAGGGCAAGTCTATGTCGTTGGACTACAGACAAAATGGGCAGGAGAGAGCCATAGATTTGTTTGTTAGATTAATAGGCAGGTTAAAAAATTTAATCAGGGTAACTCCCAATCTCAGATCATTTAGCTCCCAACCATAGTCAGGAGAACGTTGAAAAGCTCAATTTCAATTCAATTTCAATTTATTTATTTAACCAGTAATTACAACTCAGGCCAATTTGGCCTGCTTTTCAGGTAATCCTGGATACACATAAAAATACACACAACAAATACACAGTACATAAACTATTACTAATTACAACATCCTAAACATCAAGAGTGTCAAATCCTGCACCTAATGTTCTGTATAAAAGTCCTAAGAAGTCCTGCTCCTAATGATCTGTATTAAAAGTCCTAAGAAGTCCTGCTCCTAATGATCTGTATTAAAAGTCCTGAGAAGTCCTGCTTCTAATGTTCTGTTTAAAAGTCCTGAGACTAAGGAGCTGTCGTTGCTGTAACGTTGAAAAGCTACAGCTGCTACATTTGACAGGGGCTCCTCAAAAGAGAAACAGACTTTAACCTTCTGTGTGACTGTCGTTCAGGTGTCCAGGCAGTCAGATGTCATCAAAGCCCTGAGATCAGAAAATGAAGACCAGGCTGTACAGCTCAGGACATACCAGGAAAGGTATGGTAGACAAGACTCTACATGTCCAGTTGACATGTCCCGAGCATGGTAGTGAAGACCAGTACTAGGGTCTTTAAAAAATGCAGCATTCTGTAAATCATTTAATATTGCTATAGTTAAGAATGTTACTGTAATTTTGTAGTTTTTGCCGTGATCTCTCCTCACCACCATGAAATCATTATATGCAGAACACTTTACTTCACCACATTGCGTATGGCCTCCTTTCCGTTGAAATTAAGCCATTGGGGAAAATAGATACAAAATTAAATGTACCATCAGATTTTGTCTGCTGCTTTTTTAATTTGAACCAGATTTTTTCAGGATCTGAAATACAATCAGCAGTACATGTATAACCAACGGTACATAATTTAGGATGAGACACGTTTTGTTGTCCCCTGTGCATGTAAGTTTGAAAATAAAAATACCCCCCACTCCTGCCCAGATGTGGTCGGCTGGAGCGAGACGTGACAATGAAGAGGACACTGATCGAGGACATGAAGCTGAAGGTGAAGATGGCTCAGGAGAACGCCCAGACAGACAGCAGCGCTGTGGGGAAGCTCGAGGAGAGGATCAAGGCACTGACGCTGGACAACGAGCAGAAGAAAACACAGGTGGGGGAACCTTAGAGCCAATAGCAAATGTCTTTTATCAGTTGGATATCAAAGCTCTATTCACAACCACTAGCACCTAGCTTCAGTGAACCAGTTATAATTATTCTGATGCCTGATGAGTATGTCAGATGGTCATCAAAACAATAGCTCTTGTGGTTGTGAAATAAAGAACTTTGCTATTCAATCATTCACCAACCTGATGAAACTTTTCACAGATCTTTCCATCAAGTTGTGACACCTTCTAAGCAAACAAAACACTAAGCTGCTTTTAGTTTAGTCAGTTAATTGATGCAAAGAAATGCCTGTAAGAACCCTGATGTTTGTTTCAGTTGGGTTCCCTGAAGAGGAGGATATCAGCAGTGACAAAGGATAAGTTTCACTATGAGCAGTTGTACTTCCAGACACAGCAGGATCTGGAAAAGAAGGTAAAGATATAGTCACACACTTGTCAATGCAATTACAGAAAATGAAGTTGTTCCATAGTCTCACTGCAGTGAAACTTTTGATGTGTTTTAGCATGTTGACACTTTGTTCCCGTCTTTTTTTAAAATCTAATATTCAACGTCGCACAAATATGATTTTAAAGTCGATTTAATATTCACCAGCAATTTAAAGCAAAAGGGCACTCTCTAAATAAACAATGATTTACGACTTTCAAAAACATAAATAAGAAGACCACAGGGCAAAGCCAGTCCTGACAGGCTGAATAAAAGTTGGAAATGGGGACTATACACCTCCAGATGTCTTACCAAGGGACGAGTACAGTGTGCAAGATGTCAGTTAGCTTGAGGAATGAATCCCCTGTACTTTATACTTTTCTCCCCCCGTCAGACCAAACAGCTACAGGAGACACAGACGAGGCGTCATGAGGCTGAGACGGTGGCGTCGGAGCTGGAGTCAGCCGCAGCCCACCAGCTGCAGGGTCTGGCCACCAAGAGTGAGCTCGCCATCGAAGCAGTGGAGACAAAACTCAACAGGAGCCAGACCAGGGTCGGGGAACTCAACACTTTTGTGAAGGTCAGGCCTGGTGTTTGTTGCTATGATTGTAAATTTGTTGAAAGACATGTTTTTATGATGTAACCGTTACAGTAAAGGTAATTACATTTTTAGTGCCATCCAAGGGTTGGGTTTGTGGAAAGACATAATAAATATAATTTGCGAATCTGTGGATGGATCTGGATGATATTTGTTTCATTGATACGAACTGTAGGTGTCAGCAAAATAAAGGACAAGATTGATCACAGGCCCCCTAGCCCAAATCATGGTACTGCAGTCACACAATTGACATACATGTATAATTAAGTCCTACCTTGCATGCTTGGGGCAGAAGTTTTATAAATTTGCTGCCATGATAGGAACTTCACAAAAAAGGTCATGTGATGAAACATAGACAAACTTTTGCGGTGAGAACTATTATCCCAATCGTAACCGATTGTGTATAAATAAAATTCCAATATATGTTCTACCAACCTGATAAGATTATTTTCATGAGACTTCCCTTGCTGTCTCCCTGTTTATGCCCTGTCAGCAGAGCAATAAAACATACAATTAGTTACTCACTTCCATTATTATTCTCTTAAGAATGTCCTAAAATCTGGAGTTTGTAAAATGATGGATAACCTCATGAGAAACACTGACAAACTTCCCTTGCTGTCTCCCTCCTCAGGCCCTGTCAGCAGAGCTGCTGCACCAGCTGCAGTCCACCCGGCGCCAGCTGCTCAGGCAGGAGGAGGACAGCAGGAGAACGAGGGAGCGAGAGAGAGGGCAGAAGGACGAGTCCCTGACCAAGGCCCAGTCCCTGGCCTGCTCCATCCTCAACATCAGCGAGGCTGACCTGGACGACATCATGAACCCGGAGGAGGAGACAGGAACGGTGGGGAGCTACAGTAACTTTTATTTGCTTACTTATTTATTCGTTATGCTAAGATGCAGCCATTTCTGCACAGCTGGCACGTGGCTACTGCACGTGGGATCTACTTAGTGTTCAACATTTCTAGATGTTTTAATATAAATTATCTCAATATATATGTTCAGAGTTCAAATCTGATATTTTCTTGAGTTCAAATCTGATATTTTCTTGAAATATGAAGTCTAGACCTTTTTTTCTAAATTTCTTGCTTTATTGGGAGTTTCATACTGATTGTACAGAAAAGGTCATGGTTGGCATGATCTATAATTCATTTATTTCTTTGAAGCACAAGTGTACAAGTGGAAGGAGGGCAAGACAGGTGTATTAATACCTTAGTTTCCAAGTTTCCCCTCCAAGACACTACAACAATATCAATATGCATTATACATTGTATATATATCTATGATATGCATTATATATATATAGTATTACATTATATACTTTAAAAAGAAGTCATTCTGTAAACATTCTGTATGACATGTGGTAGGGATCAGAGGGCCTTATCCTGATATCCAGTATTAACATAGTAGTCCCATTTGCAAGTACTAAAGTTCATGATTATGTCTGCCTGCTGGTACTGACCTTCTGAACTCTGGGAGACTATTTGTCAATATAATATGCAGGCAAATATTGACTTGTACAATGTACAGTATTTGTAATTGCCTGGCAGTGCGAAAAAGATAAAAGTACAGTGTGCCTCAAATAAAATAAGTCATACACCTACATGTATCTACAATGTACCATGATTGTCAAACACTATATTCTCAATGACATGTTATTACTGATTGAGTTGCCAAATGAACAGGAGTTATTGGCTATTTTGCAACTTTATCATTTAAAGAAAACAGCTAAAAGCCTCAGCCTTTTGTCAGCTATATCACAAAAACACAAATAATGCATCGATCTTCATAACTTAACTTCTCACAAATTTTTTTTTTCAGAACACAGTCCTAGTTATGACGTGAACTACTGACAAAGAGATTTGACAACCATTCTGATATGTTAAGGCTTGCTTGTATCCAATTATCTCTTACCTTGCACTCAAGACAAAAAAGTCATACAATGTAAGCTATCAGAATATAATATTTCTACTTGACAATTATACTCTCTACAAAGGTGGAATCCATGGTATAGGTACAAATAACATATATATCTCTTTTATATTCACTTAAGTTTAAGTTTCACTTTCAAATCTTTGGGCGATCATGTTTCACTATTAAGTATATATTAAGAAATAACCACATTTCACAATCGCTGATTTAAGAACCAGTTGAACGCTTCAATGTCTGAAGGTATGGAAGGTTTCCCTCGCGGTTTGCGCTTTTTGTCTGATACTAGACCGAAGCTCAGTAGCAGACCACCACCTAGTGGTCTCTCTTATGGTGAAGACTTCCGTCACCAGCTCTCCGTTTGCCAGATGCTTCTTCTTGATCTCGTGTGGACGACAGAGAGTGGCCGTAACTTCTAACGGAGCTGGGAGTGGGTCCACTTTAGTTTGTTTTAGTTTATCCCGAAGGTTGTCTTTTTCATCAAGAAACTTGATCGGATCTGTTTTGGTCTGCTCGACTTCTTCCATGATGTCTGTCAAGTCTTTTACTTGTTGTTGCACGGCGTCTTTTTTGGCATTGAAGTCCCTCATGTTGTCTGCATAACTTTGCTGCATGTCTTTTAGAAGCCTGTCCTTGTCTTCAGTGAGTAGCCTCACCCTTTCTGCATACGAGTCCTTAATGTTCTTCTCACTTTCATTCTTGCCATCAGTGATCAGGTTCTCAAGATCTTGAATTTCTTTCAGGTACTTGTTTTGATCTTCAACCTGTTTCTTCTTCTCTTCAAGCAATGGAGTGATGAGCTTCTTCATTTGCTCATTGGCTTCAGTTTTTACTTGAACAACATAATGATTATGACCAACGTGAGACTCTTCAAAACACTGCATACAGATAGGTAGGCCACCGCACTTTGAACTCTTACAGATGAATTGAAGCTCCTTGGAAGGGTGGTACTCACAGTTCTGTGTGGCATCTTGCTCCTGGTCAGCTGGTTTCTTAGAGAATTTCTCACACAGCTCTGCAATAAGGTGGTTATCAGGGAGGCCTGCAACACCATCTGTTGGTAAGGGCACATCAAGGCGGCAGATAGGACAAGAAAGGCCTCCACGAGTAGACATCCATTTTGTTAGACACTCCTTGCAGAAAGAATGAAGGCAGGGCAGTGCTTTGGGGTGCCGTAAAGTTTCCTCACAGATCCCACAGCACAGGTTTTCTTCCAGAATCTTCTGTTTAAAGCTCTTTTCTGGTGCTGACGCCATTTCTGGTGCTGACGCCATTTCTGGTGCTGACGCCATTTCTGGTGCTGACGCCATTTCTGGTGCTGACGCCATTTTGCTTTCTTCTTTACCTGCTGATGGCAAAGATGGTGAAAATTTGTTATTAAGTCATGATTGACCAACAAATATGACTGCAAGGTGATAAAGACGTAAACAGTAGAGATTGGATTGGATATTCTTTCTCTAGAGTTTATGATCTGGTTCTTAAAGCTTTTAGAATTATAAGTGGGTATCTATTATTAATAGTTATTTAATTTATAGAAATTGCAACAGGCAAAACACAGGACACCCAGGCAGCTATGCTGATCTTGTGTTCCCTAACATACATTTATAATGTTAAGTTAAACAATAGCTGCCTGTGTCCCATTGCCCATGTATGGTATTGTCACAATCCAAATAAATGAAGGTTAAATTAAGTATTCAGCCCTCCACTTGAATTAGGTGTGCTTTCCAATCCACATAGATACATTTCACATTTACCTGACTTCACTTGGCAAAGTGTGGCGCTTCTTGAAGCTTTGTCCAAAGCTTGCTTGTGTGGGACTTGTTCTTTAGCCTCTTTTATGGCCAGTTTGTTTTCCAGTTTTGTCTTTTGTTCAAGGAGGTCATTGATAGTGACTTTCATACTTTCATTGGCTTCTGTTAATTTTTTTATTTCCTTTTTGTCCTCCATCAGTACTTTCTGTGCAGTTTCCTGCTTCTCTTTAAGCCGGGTGTATTCTCTTTGCACATGTTGCGCCATGTGTACTTGTTCCTCCAACCTGCGCTTAGCCATCTCATGTTGTGACTCCAAACTTTTCAGTTGCCCTTTCACCATTTTATAGCTAAGAGCCAGCTTCTTGGTGTCGTGGTTAGTGACCCAGTCTGTGAAGTTTGTGTCCTCCTCTGGGATGTCAGTGGCGAGGTCCAAAGCATCCAGGAACGTATGAATGATGCTACTCTGTTTGAAGGTCTTCAGAGGTGCCAGGCTATCCACAGATGTGGCGCGCTTTATTCCTAGATGGAAAATGAAATATGAACCATTAGTATTGAAGGCAGAATTTAAAACAGAATACTGTCATCCAATGTTACAGTAACTGTTATTCGACATACATACATGTAGTACACACACACATACATGTACTGTACATATGCATACCACTGAAGTATGAGAAAAATGCAAGGTGAACCATTTTTACCTTCGCCAAGAAGGTTATGTTTTCGTTGGCGTTCGTGTGTCTGTGTGTGTGTGTGTGTGTGTGAGCACGATAACTCAAGAAGGCTAAGATGGATTGTTTTGATACTTGGTAGGTGGGTAGGTCTTCATGAGACGTGGAACTGATTAGATTTTGGGCCCCCTAGCGGCTTGTTATGGTACTGCAGCTGAACTTCCGGTTTTGATATCTCGTGATCTAGACATGCTAGGGTGACGAAATTTGGATGGAAGGTAGCTCTTGTGCTGGGGAACAAGTGACGTGAGTTTGGGCCCCCTAGCAGCTTGCTCTGGAACTACAGGGACATTAGTTGAAAAATGTTTAAAGGCGGATAACTCAAGAATCGACTGATGGATCGTCGTGATTTTTAGCATGTAGGTAGCTGAAGCGATGCTTGACATAATGATATTACAATTATGCAAATATTAATGTAATTTGCATAATTAATGAGGAAATTCTATAAATCAGCTGCATTCCATGATAGGACGATTCAAGCTTGTGACATGTAATTCAGAACGGCAGAAATACAGGCAGGTATTGATTATGCAAATGAAGACTTAATTTGCATAATTAACAAGAAAATGTTATAATTACATAGTGGTAATGTCTGGAATTTCATACTTGGGATATTTGAAACTTATGTGAAGGTGAACATAATTTTAATTATAATAATTTATGAGAACATGCTATAATGGCATGCATTGATAAGATAAGACTTCTTGTGTAGAATATGATCAACAGATACAATTGATGCAATATAGGATCCTATTTGCACAATCAGGGGGATTCATCTATAATTTCTTAGTCATAAAGGCTAACATCATTTGGCGAAGGTATGAGATCGTGGAACTCTAGTTATATTTCAGTCCATACCATGGTATGGATGAAATATATTGTGTTCTCTCATGTTTCTTCTTCTCCTCCTTCTCCTTCTCCTGCCAAACAGTTAAACGGATTCAACTCCGCCATCATTCAGCCAAATGACTTGAAATTTGGCATGGAGGTAGAGTGGGCCTAATACCCCCTAGGTTCGTTTGTTTTTTTTTTTCATTTTTTTGATACATGCCTTTGAAGAAGGTTTTTTTGGGCATTTTTCGACAAAAAATGAATTTTTGGATCCTGAGCCCTGGTATTACGACCAAATGATCTGAAATTCGGTATAAGGGTACCTTGAATGTGTGTCTACAGAATAGCAGTCACATATTTGGCATACACCACTTGCAAATGACTCATTTAGGGGACTTTAATGGCTATTTCAGGCCAAAAAGGGCCAAAAGTGCTGTACCCGTTCCACGTTCTATCTAAAGAATGGCCGGTTCCATCCATGGAACACGTGTTCCATTGCGGGTTACCTGAGGTCAAATTGCACGTAAGTCGTGTACATTGTATAATGACCCACACATTCAATTTTATGTGCCTAAGACCTTCAAAATGTATCTTTATCTTTATTCTTTATTTCAGGCGCAAATTGGCCCATAGTAGACAATTAAAATAACAAGGTGCACACATAGTAAAAACGGTAGGGATCGGTACATATACAAACGAGAAGGGCCTTACCGGTAGACTAGGCCGATATAGTGATCCCAGTAGTGACTGGTGGATGATAAGTCTGAGTGGATTGCGAGTTTTATGATTCTGTTATTACTGTTGAGGAGCCGATTGGTGAAAGAGTGTGTTAGTTTACGTCTGCGAGCATCGAAGGTATCGACACCCTCAGTCACAAACATTCGACTGGCGCTCTCGAATTTTCCATATGAAAACAATATTCTAAAGGCGTTGTTATAAGCCGTTCGGAGTTTGCGAAAATCAGTGTTTGCGAAAATCAGTGTTAGTATTTGCATACCTGTAATAAGATTAGTAAAGCTTTCGAGATTCAAAGTGCTTGTTCTTGCATCTTTGTTCTCAATCACATAGCTACTATTTATTTCATTTAGTTGAGAACCTTTGCCAGTTTTGCACTGGGGTAAGTTTGGAATAGTCCACTTTTTCGTGGGAGGGAGATGGACTGAAATATACTGTATTTGCTCCCAAGCAAATGTCGGCCTTTCTAGTTAAACTTTGTTTCCATAGCCACTATACTCAGCTACCAAATATTATTTAGATTCATCCACAGCTTCTTGAGTCATGCTGTTGAAATACATACAGATTCAATCCACAGCCACAGTCCACCATGGCTCAACCGAAAACCTTCTTTGTGAATGTAACAATGTTAATAATTATATACCTGGATGTCTAACCTTCATCAGCATACAATGTAATATACCAAATCTGTTCCCTCTCCAGGGAGTTGATGTGAAGGCTGAGAAGAAGAAAGACCAGCAGTGGAACAAGAAGCTGGAGAAAGTGCTTAATTCCAAGGTACATGTATATAAAAATCTCAACATCTACATCATTCTATACAAACTAATTTTTTTATCACAGAAACTAGACACTGCTGCGAGACATCACCTTTTAATATGACCCTTAACTCGTTACACATTCAGGACATTCCCATGAATTTGCTCCCAACCACCAGCGGCTTTGATGATTTTCCTATTTAGAAATGGATGATTTAGTTACTTTGTTTCTATGATTGTGAATATCTACAGCTGATGTGTACAAGGCATTTTGTTTAGTCTGTTTGATGCCCCCACAGGTACCCTTTGCCACAGCGTTGTTAGAGCTGGTTGTGGAGAAGATGGAGGAGAGAGTAGACCTGCTGGAGAGACTGTACAAGACACAGGGCAGGGGGGACTGATGTATGTTGTCTGAATAAGCTGTTCACAGTTTGAAGCAGTACACATGTATATGTATGACCGTGACGCATCAAAGTTGAAAGCCTCTGAGATATAAACAGGCGTGAACAAGTGCATGTATCATACATAATATAGGCAAGAACTGCTTATGAGGCCCTTCATCTTTCAACTTGCATAATTATGCATGGTTCAAACTGTAGGAAGTCAGCAAGGAAGTCTGGAATTTACATACATGTATTATATATTATACATTGTATGAGTCTACTTTTACATTGTAAATAGATATAATAATGGCCAACTTGTAGAATCTCTCAAATCTGTAAAAAGATAAATCAAGAATTCCCATTTGTAACACAATCATAATATACTGTAGATCTAGAGTTATGTTAAAGCTCTATTGTTGTCTCCATACAGTTCTTTCTTCTTGGAGTAGTGTACATGTACATGTACTATGATGTAGTTATAATGAAAATGACAATGGATCAAAGCTGATTAGATTTGAGTGCCATCCGATGATGATAGTAAACACTAACTGCTTAGTTACCGTGATTTGCCAATGCAAGCTTAGGTGCAATACCTCAATGGATTGACTTTACTAGTCAGTAGACTGGTTTTAGATAGTTAAACATTGTTGTACAATGTATCATGTACAATGTATATAGAGATGGGAGCATCTGTACATAGAAGTGATTTGAATGTTGTTGTTTTTTTGTTTGTTTGTTTTTTAGTCACACTCAGTGGACCTGTCATACAGTGTTTGTATGATGTGATCACTTTTTAATGTCATTTGTACAAAATACAGTTTTCTCTTCCACATATACCTCCATTGATTTTGATACCATGTTGTCTTCAATGACAGAAATCCAATAGTGGCACAGTTTGGATGCTCAGGGAACACATCTCCTTTCTCTTCAACTACAGTTACAAGTAATGACTACAAGAGAAATCTCAACTGAAACAAGAGTTCTATGATCTCATACCTTCACCAAATGATGTTAACCTTTTAAGGATAGGTTTTCTCATTGATTACAAAATGTATGAATTTCAAAGTAAGTTCCTTATTTGCATAAATCTTATTCAGTAGCAATCAAACAGCACAAGTTGTCCAATAATAAAAAGTCTTAACAAAGAAGGATATTGTTATTTCTTTCATCTCTTACTACACCAATTTAATTTGTTGGTTCTCGGATTTTTCCAGAAAAAATATGAAGCAACAGGGCAAAAACATGTTCTACAGAATCTCTTCATGCAAAGCCTAGCAATCAATGGACATGTACCTTTCTCAGCCTTTGCAGGTAACTGCAGAAAAGTTGCAGCCATCACAGAAGATGCAGGAGTTGTCGATGAACTCTGAAACTCCTTGACTGTCTCCGTCTCATCTGTAATCATGAAAACGGTATTATGATGTAGAAATATTATATACTTTATGATTTTTTTCTTACTCTCTAGCTAACTCCAAATATGATAAAAGTTAGGCAAAACTATTCCTAACAATTGAAATAGTAATTTTCTACATCTTGTTAATGCCTTTATATTCAATTGGCATGCAAATTTTAAAAAGAGATAAATAGATACAGGAAGAATACTACACTAAAGCCCACCTGTTGCATCAAAGTAGTGTTTCCACTGCCAGTATTGCTCCTCCAGCATGATGACCCGTATGAACAAGTCTTTGCCAACAACTGTGCGCATCTCATCAGTGATGAGATATTGGGAAAAGTCTTTACTGAGCTGTCCAGATCTATATTTTCTCCAAAATCTGTCCAGGGCTATTCGGCTGTTTGGGATCAGGTGAATGATGACACAGCCCCTCTCAATCTTAATGAACTTCATGCCAGACTCACGATAGTTTAGTATCGTGCTTTCTGTTAACTCTGCAATCTTTGCTTTGGGCATGAGTTCTTCTCGGGAGGCCTTTATTATAAACTCAAACACGCTCTCATTCAACGTTTTGAGATATTCTAACTCCTCCTTTTTGAGTTTATCCTGCATCTGTTGTTCATCATTGAACCCTGTTGTGCAGGTGTCTTGGTCTTCATTGGAGGAGCTGGAATCACTCATAGATGGAGAAGTCGTCAGGTGAAGAAGTCCTTGGATAGCTACAAGGAAATGGAGACATGCATCTTGGTCAAATCTTCTTTCAAAAAGACACCAAACTGATTAATACAGAACAAAAATAGTGTAATTCATTATTTTTTCATGGTACTGTCATGTTATGTTCACTGTTTTCACTGTCAATTCTGTACCGTGAAGTTATCATTACAGTTAACAAATAATTCCTGGACTTTCTTTTTCCTGCACCTGTTACCACGGTGAATATATAGTTCCATGAATATGTCCATTTTTCTCAGACCGTGAACTTTTGCTACCGTAAACAGTAATTACAGTGAATTACAGTACTCGTTTTACTAAAACATGGTACATGCATGTACAGTCATGTAAACTCTCGTTACATCACATTCTTTCCAGCTATCTGGGTTTCATGTCAATTTCACATATTTGAATAAAGAATAATTTTGCTACTATTCTAAGGAGTGATTCATACCTTCAGGTGGGATACCTTTGAGTCGCCTCACTATCTCAGCAGCGATGTTTGGCAGCTCATCAGTTACTTTGCCCCTCTGCACACATCTTGCACTCAGCTGTTTCAATGTGGGAGAGTACTTCCCCACTAGCTCACTGAATGCCTTGAAGTTGTCACTGTTGTCATCAACCCAAATAGGGAATATGCGCTTATTGTTTTTCAAGCATGTCTCAAACTCCAGCTTAGGCCAGTAGTGCTTGTTGAGCAACGACGTGCTGACAACAATGACAGCAAGTTCCAAACTTTGGCTTGATAACGTTGAAATTATTCTCTCTCGGATGACCTCACCTGGCTCGATGGAAATTTCATCGAAAAAAATGATTTTCTCAGCCACCCCTTGCTGCTGCATGTTGGTAACCAATGGGCGAACAAATGGTTCTTTGTCTTCTCCTGCGTGGATGATGAAAACATGTGATTCTGGAAAAAGAAGAGAATACACAAGGGGTTTAACACAAAATTGTGTAGCCGTTGTAGATTCTAACAGAATAGCATGCAAACATCGTATTCAATTGTCCAAGGGACACGTACTGGGCATGAATTTGGAGTCAAACTCTATAGTATGTGATCATAGTTACATTGCCTTACAAGCACAATAAATATGTGTAAATGTGCAAACATAAACATAAAATCTAGTCTCTAAATCATGTACAATCATACTGATACCTTTGGATGTCCCCTCTTGGCCATCATCTTTTAGGATCCTTGCCAGATGCGGGTAGCGATGTTTTAGTGCATCTTTAAACACCACAAATGCTTTTGGTCCTCTGTTAGGTAGAATGTCCAATAAGGCCTTGGCTTGGTCTTCTCGTGTCTGCTCAATCTCTATGTCATCAAGATCAGTACCATTTAAGATTCTGCTGTCTACAAGGCGCCGACGGATGTCCCTAAACCTCAGGTCACTTGTTATCTCCAGTCGTTTAGCCAGAAGTAGGTCCCGGTGTTTTTTTTCCATGGTTGACTTAATATCGTATGAACAATGCAGTGTCTATCATCTGTTAACATCCAGCATTCTACTTGGCTCACCCTTTCTTCATTGATGTAGCACTGTGTTACCTTCTGTGGGACAAAAAGACATCAGTTCTGTTTGTTAGCCAGTTTCTTGCAAATCTGATTTCCATCTCAATTGTCTCGACAGCAAAACAAATTATGTGATAACAGGTACATTTCATGTATTACATACCCATAAAAGAACCAAATACAAAGGCCCCAATTCAAGTAGCTACAGCATATTTCAGCTGATTTCCCTCCCCATGTAAACACATTGTCAACATTTTCACAAAAAGGTGTTCTCGTACCCCGTATTGTACTAGTTTTTACAGATGGGTGTCTGCATAAACTTCACAACTGCCATATGCCACAGTACTTTTCAAAGTTCTTATTATTCCCCCAATAGTACTTATCACAGGCAGTTCTTTCCATACAGCACAACTACTAGAGGGGGGGGGGCATAATCTTCCTACGTGTAGCATTGCAGCCATGATTCGACTGTACATTGTACAGTTTATGACTTTGTATATAATTAAACTGCAATCAATACTTTGCTTATACGTCATCAGTACAGATAAACAGGAAAACACAAATCCTAAACTTTCTATCAAAGAATCATTGCCAAGAGGCCACTTCAAAAAGAGAATCAGGCAGGATCAAGTATACTTTACAGGGCTGGAAACACCTGGATTGGAGCTGAGCTTTTATTTACATTGTACCTGCACTGGTCCATGTACTGGGTTTATACCCACATACTGAGTTTATATAGAAATGTATGTGTACATGTATGTGGATACTACCTTGACTATGAAGTAAAATTAAAAAGAACTAGAAAGGCCAATATTTGCTTTGGAGCAAATACAGCGATGGGTTCACCACATTTTACGACATGGCAGGGAAAGAATGGGAAACACAAGGGAAAACAATGATTTACATTGATATAACTATAATATGAAGTAAAATACAACTAAAACAACAGTTGGATAGCTATTCCCTACTTTATTGGTTAGGATTTTTAATTGCATAATGCAAACTGTTGATTTTCAAAATAAAAAAAAAAGTCCATGCCCGGCATTCCAATGCTGGAGCAGGAAAGCTTGAAATACCTACCAAAACACTTGAATACAGACATACTGTCAGTATGGAAATGCTTCTGTGCAGGTGTTAATCAAGTTAAATCCCAACAGCCAATCAGCAAGAAGTATAGAGGAAAGCTGCATGCCTATTGGTTGATGCCCTGCATTCCATTGTGATGACTCATGCCCAAACGTGGTAAACAAGGCACACTAACACAGTAATACATTAGCTATAACACAGCCAAAAAACTCAAATAAAACCATTCTAAAAGCCTGTATCACAATAATTTAAAAAACGCCTAGGGGTATTTGCCCACTGTACCTCCATACCAAATTTCAGGACCTTGGGCCCTAAAATGAAGAAGTTGAATCCATTTAAAAAATGGCAGGAGGAGAAGGAGAAGAAGAAACATCAGAAAAAGCAATATGGTTTCACCACACCACTTCGTGGTGTGGTGAACCCATAAATATCAGCAATGGTTTCTGAACGGTTTTGAGTATGATCCATACTTTCTGAAGTCTGAGTGGGGCAGGTAAAATTTTCCTCACGCAGGTAATTTTCAATGTTAGGTGTGAAGGCATGCAGAAAAAAAGGATTTTGAGCCTTATCCTAGGACTGATCTTAGGACTGAAACCTGCAATTGATAAACTGCTAGTAAAACATGACATACCTGGATGTCTCCTGGACACCAATGCCTGTCTACAAACACCTGCAGGTTGTAGTTCTATCTGTAACACTATTTCTTCATTCAGACTTCCTTGACTGGGGCTGTGAACTTTGCCCAGGATAATATAACGTTAGGGTCAATGTACAGCTTGTTGTTTGCTTCTGGCTTTTGTTTGCCATTTTAGGCCACAACCAAATGCACCTATCCAGCAAAGATATTTTCAGACGTAGTTGGAATCAAGACCACTCACAAAGACAAAAGTTATCATTTTAAAGATTTGTTACCACAAATGTTCTGACAGCTCTTCTTACTATTTTGCAAACCACCAGTCAGAAGTACATTAATTTTGTAGCTATCAGGTACCAAACCCTGTAAGTTGGTGTCACTGGTAGGTTCCATGACCTTGAATTATAAAAATCAGGTTTCTCATTGATTTATACATTCAAATATGTTTCCTCATTTGCGTGGACTATAATATTTTCAGTTAAGTATATTCTCCAACCAATAAGTTTCATCATTATAGTTACATGTGTAACAAAGGCTACGCAAAGAAATTATGCGAATGAGGTCCTGATTTCAGTAATTTAAATGTCATCTAATTATTTCAAGCATCACTGAAGCATGCCTACATACCAAAAATCATGTCAATCTGTCAACCATTGTCCTCCTGAATATGTAGTATTTTAGAATAGACTGTAACTGTTATTAAATCACTAATGTTGCAAAGAATCATCATGTAAAATGACCACAGACTGTTTAAACAGGTTTCAATTCATTTAATGAAATGCTCATACATAACATACATGTATATTTGTACAAATTTCCCTATTGCTTCATTACTGTGAAATAAATAGAAATTGATTCACAATAAATTTGCACAAGCGAAGTATTAAAATAGATTCAAAGAAAAAGAGACACAATGAAAATATTTAGGTGCTCACAATCAAACTTATGTACACCACTTGATAAGCACAAAGTACATTATATTTCTTTGTTTCAACCAGAAGATAAAAATATGCAACAAGACAAGAGAAGCAGTCACCACAAGAAGTACAGAGATAAGTATGATATCATACAAATTGCTCAGAAAAAATATTGGAAAATTAACTGGTTCATTGGTACTTTTTAGTTACTGTATGTCATGGAGCTTTAACTTCAATAAAGTACAGGTAAGTAGAAAGAAGCAAAAGCTGAAGGCAACACTTGGAAAGCAACACAATGGAAAACTCATTTAATTAGCTTGAATATATACATACAATCTGCATCGTAATGATATTGAATACTTGGCAACTTGAATATATTTCCTAATATAGTATGCTACACTGTACATGGAAATGCTTCAGATTGCCCACTGCTGGATGTCATCAGTCGCTACCAGACTCCAATGGAGAAAGTTGAAAATACAAATTGAATCATGTAAAAATTGGGCAGATAGTCTGAATGATATGCCAGTAAGGGTTACATGTAGCTGGCCACACTCCATTGGCTAACTCCTCTGATTATGTAGTCTCCACCAGACTCCTTTGCAGGCTGAATAAATAGTGGAAACTGGCCTAAAAAGGGAAATTGGACCCTCTGTAGCCAGCTTACTCCCCTGGCCAGTTACATTCCTATTTAGGACGATTTCTACTATTCATTCAGCCTCCAATGGAGTCTTGTGGAGCCTACCTCTGACATACCACTCAGTATATGTGCCCAATTTCTTCTATGTTGTATTTTACAGCACCATTATATTAGAATCTGATAGAAACTACATCATCATCACATGTACAAAATGTAGGTTACATTAGCTAGCACGTCGGCAGAACGTACTGCGCTCGCGCAGAATCCCGATTTTTCACGGTTTTCGTTGGATTTTTGGTCAACGTTGCATTATAATTTTGCTTGTTGCAGGCGATATTTTTTTGGACATAACATTTGGAAACTACAGACGGAGTGTTAACCTTATATGCACGAATACAACCTTATATGAGACATTCTGCGGAAGTGCTATGCACAATATATTACGGATTTCGCGCAGGTGCAGTACGTTCTGCCGACGTGCTATATTAGCTGCCATTGTGGGCACTGGGCACAGTTGTTCAGAAGCCTCAGGGTGGACGTACATGTACTACTGCAGGCTGTCATCTCCTGGAGCTGCTGAAGTTGCTGCGTGTTGAGTAGTCCCTGGGCAGGGGGCGGGTCCTGGTAGGGGAGGGGGTCCGCAGGCGCGTGGGGGAACGCAACCTGCAGGGACAAGACAACAGGTAGGAGCGAAGTACATACTGTATTAACCAATGACTTTTCTTTTCAAGGTTTACTGAGCTATTAAAATGATGCAGGCCCCTGACAAAGATTCTGAATTGTCCTCAGTCTTGTGGGGGAACGCAACCTGCAGGGACAGGGCAGGAAAGATCTGCTGATGGCTTATCCTTTTTTTTCATTCATGGTTTACTGATCTTTTAATCTTGCGCCCTTGGGAAAGGCACTTAACACACCTTTCCTCACTTAACTTGAGGAAAATTAGTATTGTCTGTCCTGTATTTGTTTCTGTATGTGGGACACAACAACAGCTGCCTGTGTCCCAGATGTATTGTATTGTTAGACTTAAAATAAATCAAATCAAATCATTAGTCGGTCCAGCCTACCTGTCAGAGATGTGAGGAGTGGCCATGGAGGTGCCTCTGCGGTTGGTCGGACTGCCCTTCAGGATGCTGTACGAGGTGTCAACCTCACCTCTAAATACACGAAAAAAATGCAGTGTAAGAACACTGTCAAGGCAGGACAGGAGGGGAGGCACCAAGACTTTACAGAAAGCTTCTATCACCAGAAGTTGCAGTTATAATTGTTTCAAGAAAATTTCTGTGCTTGTGCAGTTGCTTCTGTCTATCCACAATAATGTACATAAATAATTATCATGGTTGAGACTCAGATCTGATAGAATTGGTGATTAGGACCTTGTGATTGGTGAGCAGAAATCTCTTTTGGTGGAATCACCAATTCTAACATATTGGAGTCTCTGCCATGACATGTTTGTGATACATGTAGAGAGGTGACCTGTGCACTGTTTTCAGAGATGCTGTGGATAAAGTTCATGCGGTGTGAACCTTCCCTGTGCAAGACATACCATCCTTTACAGCAAAGAACTGATGCACAGCCAAACACACAGCACAGTCCCTTAGGTTTGCAGCATGACAAAATGAAGTCTGTTAGTGTAAACATGATTGATGAAAGAGGTGCTTGCCAAGCCATTGAACTGTCTCAACACATCAAGTTCACTCCAAGCAAAAAAGACCTGTAAAAAGTCCTTTGCTCCTTTAAACTGAAAAAAATGCTGTGGTGACATGCCTTCGTATTAGGAGCATATCCCTCAAGACACCTGGTCAAAGGTCCTATATGTGTAAGCACTGCACACACCAGAATAGGCAGGGACACTTAAAAGCATTGTTGTGTAGTTTTTGTCTCTGTACACTTAGTCTAGCCATGATATACTGGAGTAGGGAGTAGAGTCTTTGGATTGGAATGTCTGGGGTCTGGGATTTGAAAATGTTTCTGCAATGCTTTCTCTGCCTAGCAGTCAGCACTTACAGGAGTGTGGGAATTAAACATGCCACTACCAGTAGACTAAACCCTACTGTAATGTCGTGTGTGACTCAAGGGCTATACAAACAGATGGGCGCCATCCCTATACACCTTGACAGTCATGGAAAGGATTCTAATAACATAATTTTTAACATCTCAAAGTTGTGGTTACCTGAGAGGTGCGAAGTCCTCCCTGTAGCTCCTGTCTGCAGCGTACCTGGGGGCAGACCTGGTGCCGTACGGCGTGTCAGGGGCCAGCCGGTCCACCACCTGGTCAGGAGGGAGAGGGGCACATGTACAATGCAAGTCAGACTGTTTCTGTTGAAACTTCCATGTGACCCTGCAAAAGCTAACAAAATTGTTAAGGATGGCCAAATTGGTTGTTGAGTGCATTTTTAGATGCCAACTCGAGAAGCTTAGGTTGCCTTATGCAACTTGGAAAAACAACTTTCAAAGTTTAGCTCAATGAGCAGTTGAGCTAAACTCACAACTTGTTTGAAATTTGTTTTTCCAAGTTTGTATATAGTTGGCATAACATGTACGGTGACAATCACCTTTTGCAAGATGTCAACCAGGAGACCTGTAAGGTTTCCAGTAGCGTACAAGTTGGGGGACAACAGCTGGGACTCAAACTCACAACCTCTTGTTCTAGACTCTAGAGGCATGGTCATAACCACTGGACTACACACACTACATGTACATATAATGTACGGTATTGTCACTAACCACACTACACACACTACGTGTGTACATAGAAGTAGCCGTACCTCGTCCTGATCCATCTCCCTGCGGCAGGCCTCGCTCAGCTCCCGTTTCAGCGTGCTGATGTGGTTCTTGTGGGACGTGATCTCCTCCTCCAGGACTGAGATCCTGGACAGGGCCTGCTGCTGAGCCTCCACAAATGTCTGCACAACATTCTGTACACACATGACAGGAGAAGTAAGTCTTAGTTAGAGACCTTGTAGCTACATTAGGAGCTGATCTCCTCCTCCAGGACTGAGATCCTGGACAGAGCCTGCTGCTGAGCCTCCACAAATGTCTGAACAACGTTCTGTACAAACAACAGGAGAAGTAAGTCTTAGTTAGAGACCTTGTAGCTACATTAGGAGTTAATCTCCTCCTCCAGGACTGAGATCCTGGACAGGGCCTGCTGCTGAGCCTCCACAAACGTCTGGACAACATTCTGTACAAGCAGAAAAAGAGATACAAGCTTTAACAACAAGTATACATGTACATTGTATTACATAACATACAATAGAATGGTAGCTAGTCATTCACAGTAATCCCCAAGCTCATATAAGGAATTCTGGCTGATTTTCTGTGCTTTACCAGAATGAGCCAGATCTTTGAACTTGCTTGGAGATTAAATCACTTTTATTATGTTAACCACATGCACAAATTAACCTACTACAAGGACAGCAGACTACTGTAAGATTACGTTTTATTTTTCTATGGTTACAGACCTGACAGGCGATGAGTTCAGGCCCGATGGCTCCTCCCTCTGCAGCTATCTTCTCACTGGGTAACATCAACTGTACAGGGGGAACATAACGTACAAGATTCAGGATTATCTACTGTTCATCTACAATGTAATTCCATAAACCATATTATAAAGTTTATTACTGGTGCAGTATAACAAAGCTACTGCTATGCCATGTTGAATGGGGATGAAGAAATGGCAGTTTCAGCCGGTGTCCTAATAGTTCATGCTGGAATATGTGTACAACAGGAACTACAGTGTATTAATTTAGCTGCAGCAGATGACTCAATAGGACTTTGCACCACCAACTCTCCTGAAGTTGGTGTACAGTAAAGTTATGAGCAATTCTCATGTTTTGTAACAATAAATAACTAAGTACTTTGGCTTTAATTATTGGTTATAGGATTAAACTAAATAAAAAACTGACCTGAGGCAAAGTGAACTCCACAGGACCCATCCCAGTCCTGGACAGGACAACCTGGTCCTTACTCTGCAAGAAATAAGCAAAACTTTGAATCACAGAGTTTTTAGACTGCATACCACGGAAACAGTAAAACTTAACAGAAGACAAGGCATGACTAAGAAAGCATATAAAGCAGTGCCCACCTCCTGTAAAGCCAAGTCCACAGACTTCAGGTAGCTGGCCAACGTCTCCTTCTCCCTGTAAGGAAGCAAAAAGATGCCACATGATAATATAATTATACATAACAAGGACAATTTGTACCAAGGCCAACCTTTTATTCTCTCCTAATTACTTGTAAACTACTTGTCATGCCTTTAAAACTCATCTACGCATACCTTCCCTCACATTCTCTGAATGAGGTGCTTTAAAATGATTGCACCTCATGTTTTAAGAGAGTACAAAACTTTTGTCCATGACTAGAAAAGATGCTTTGAGTCAAACCTGTACAAGTGACCCCCCCCCCCCACCTTTTTGGTGGTCCCTTAGATAATTTTTCCCATTGATTACAGGAATTCTGTCTACTGTGACCACCTGTCCACAATTTAGATCAGACTTCATTGGTGGACTTTTTGGGCTGTTTTGACTATCTAGATTAATAATGGAACTGAAAGGGTGGTGGCCACATGGGTACACATGTAGGACTATATTATCAAGTGTTGTGACCCTTACTTAGCGGATGTCCTGAGGTCGTTCTCGGCGTTCATGAGCCCCTCCTGCAGCTCCCTCCTCTCCGCCTCCAGCTGAGACAGTCGCTTGTTCAGCTGCCGCAGAGACTGCTCCTTCCTCCGCATGTCCATCTTAGCCTCAGACAGGTCCTGGGGAGGCAGGGTAACAAATGAATTATAAATGGACAAATGAATGAGTAAGTAAATGAATGAATGAATGAATGAATATAGGAATATATTTTATTTTCTTTTAAAACAGGCTTGCTAAAACAAATAACGTAGTGACATGGCAAATGGTTTTCTCTTTGTAGTTATGTGCATTTCAATGCTCTCCCAAGGGAGGAATAAGACGAAGAATGAATGAATGAATAAATGAATGAATGAAGGAAGGAAGGAATGAAGGGAGGAATGAAGGAAAAATTATCAGATGAATGGATAGATGAATGAATGTATTTAATGCCTTTCCTAGTACAACAAAATGCGTGAATGGAGTTTAACAGGGTTTAACAACAGATGTTAAGACCTTACTTTAAGGCCTTGCCAGCAGTCACCCCTCCCTAAGAAAAGGATAGAGTCCATCAGGAAAAATAAGTTTTCCTTAGGCCTAACAAACCTTGACAGCCTCAGAGAGGGTTTTCTCCCTCTCGGCACCCTCATCCAGGCGGCTGCCCAGCTGGTGCATCTGGCTGCTCTGCTCGTTCAGCAGCTGCTGTGCCTGCTGCTCCCGCTGGAGGGCGCTGCTCAGCTCCTGGCACACGCTGTCAAAACGGTCCTTCGGCACAAGCTGGGAGTTCTGGGAACAATACATGGAAATGTCTTATATACATGTACATGTACATCATTACATGTATATGTCCATGCACAATGCACAAGTAACTACAGACTGGCACAAGCTGTCCTTCGGCACCATCTGTATCTGTATAGCCGGTATAACCACCCTTCGGTGTAACACACCAGCTTTACAGGCACGCGGCACAGAAGCAGCTGGCTATATTACACCGAACGACTTGTTACACCTAACCCTTGAACATCTAACTCTAAACATTGTTTAAAGCTGTATAAAGACAATGCCCCTACTGTACTTCGTGACAGCGAATTCCACTCTGTGATAGTTCTAGGAAAGAATGAGTTATTGAACACCTCAATCCTTGGTTGATAACCAAGTTGGTACTTGAAGGCATGATTTCTTGTTCTTCAATGAGCTGGTATTAGGTAGAAACCTACAGTGAATGTCACTGCAAGACAGACAAAAAATGTCCATGATGTACAAAATGACCAGTAATAAACTGGTGGACGTACCATCTACTAAGTACATACTTCTTTGATTTCCGTGACACTAGCTCCCCTTTCATAATTCATAGTTCACATTTCCACCCCGGCTCCCCGCTGACCCACCTCCGTCCTGAGATGCTCGACCTCATCCTCCAGGATGGTGACCTTGTCGCGGTGCCGCCGCAGCAGGTCCGTCTCATTGTGCAGCTTGGCGACCTCCGCCCGCAGACCGCGCCGCTCCACCTCCGCAGTGTGCAGGTGCTGCGTGAAGTCCAGGATGTGGTGCTGCAGGCTCGAGATGATTTGCTGCAGGACAGCAGGGAAGGAAAATACAAGTTGGGGCATCATCAATAGAAAGCTTTTAGTATTGCCTGCAGTTAGATGTGTAAAGGTTGCCGATGGATGTAACAGGTCATGTGGTGCTGCAGGCTAGAGATGATTTGCTGCAGGACGGCAGGGAAAATACAAGATACTGTAAATCTTGAACTGTTTGCAAAGTTTATATTTTCAGCAGTCAAACTGGCCCAAGAAGACCCTGGTCAATGTATATTAATTTAATTTGATGGCCAGGTAGTCCTTAGATAGCTAGGGTCACTAGTACAGGTTTGACTGTAATGCTTCGAGCATGTGCATTTTTAACAAAAGAAGGGGTTGCAGAAAGTCTTCATCGATGCTTTAAATTTGCACATTGGCAATTGAAAGAAATACAAGATATATTGTACTGTAGATCTAAGGTTTTATTTTCAACAGTCAAACCTGCCGAAGAAGACCAACCAGGGGACAGAGGGTCTATGTGGACAGGTGGTCAATGTAGACTTTACGTCATGTAAATCAATGGCCAGGTGGCCTTTATCTAGAGGTATACAGGTTTGCCTGTCAGTCCTATGACAACTTGACCAGTCTACCCACCTGTGAGGACATGACCTGTAGTTTCCCTGACAGCGAGGACCGTCCCAGGACCCTGTTCAGCCCGTGTCCCAGGAATCTGACCAGTGCGCCCTTCTCACGGTAGTTCCCCCCGTTCCCGTCCGCCATCAACACGCTGAACTCAGGACTCAGCTTGTTCATCAGCTTGGCAAAGGAGTTACGGGCTGAGCTCACAATGGCCTTGGAGCTGGGCAGGCCTGACTGGGGGTCTGTGGAGAAGGAATCGTAAATGTAATGTTTCCTAGACAAATTTCTCAGTTGTACACAGAACATTGGTTCCCTAGGTTCATACTACTGGTGAGTTGTGACTTGGGTTGTAAAAGTCATAGATGAACAAGGATCTAAAAAGAAAGTGTAAAACCTCATCCCTTTGTAAAATGTTCTTGGGAAAGTAACTTCCTGATGAAAGTGTCCCTGACTAGACCCTACAGAAACACAAATTATCGATAACACTCCTGTCAGACACACGGGTCATAGCATGTTTCCTGATCTCACCTGTCCTGTTCAGAGTCTTCTGTAGCTCAGCCACAGAGTTGACCAGCATTACAGAAACACAAGCAAACATACAAACAGACACACAGACCATACCTGTCCTGGACAGAGTCTCCTGTAGCTCAGCAACAGAGTTGACCAGCACCCCCAGCAGCTCGGGACTGTGGAACCACCTGACCGCCGCCTGCTTCACACTCCGGCCGTTCCCTCCGCCCGCCTGACCACTCCGACCATTCTGGCTTCTCTGGTTCCTGCTGTCACTCATTCCAGTCCCTACATGGGATATCAACATGGCATAGATCTGTTGAACTAAAGCATATATATGTGTACTAGGAGCATGTACTTTTAAATGTACTATTCTTCGACTGCATTGGGAGTAAACATACAGTGTATAAAAAAGCTGCCTACAAGCTAAACTAGGGTTGAGCAAAAGGTTCTCCACCTCACTTAGAAATAAGGGGCATAGCTCAATGTTTAAGCCATTGCTATATATACATAATGTTACTGAAACATGTAAGATCTGCTATCAACATGCCAACATGCATATTAAAGCTACAGAAAAGCATCCAGTGCTATCATCTTTCACTGTGTTGCATGCAGAATGAAGGTTTACATGCATTGCCGGGAAAGCAGTTTGACGTTTGACTTGCCATTCCTATGCGTATATCCATTGTTTCTCCTGTAACTGTTCTGACTACTGTAGCTGTTAATGCTACTGTAGTGAGTATCTCTCCTGTGATGTCTGTCACCTAAACCAACACCTTGGGAAGAGGCAAAAAACAGAAGAAACTTTTTTCACAAAAAACATCTCACAAATTTCAAATTCAAAGTAAGGATACAGCAGGTAATGAATGTAACATCCGAAAATAACTTCATCAGGTTGGTACTATCATAGGATATTGGAATTTTTTTTTACACAACCAGTTGTTCTCTCACCATACTTAGATTTTGATATCTATCAGACGTTGCTCAGAGCTTCTGACTGGAGTTCTGCTTCTCACTGCTATATGTATATATGCAGCCGATGTAGGTGGGACTTTTGCATCGAGCAGTTAGTACTCCAGTCAGAAGCTTTGAGGAAGGTGTCTGATATCAAAACAAGCTAGGTGAGAGAATAACTGGTTGTGAATCCCAATATCCAATTGATTCAGCACTGAGATTGCTCTCTCACCTGTGATAGTTTTAGCAGACCCTTTCACCCCTCCGATGCACACAATGGACCGGCCCACCCCGTCCGGTGCGTCGTGGGAAACGAACAGCTTGCAGCCCTGCCCGGCGAACGAGTTCAGCCGATTGGCAGCCAGCACCGCGATCACGCCGACGCGGAACTTTAGAACCGGGTTCCACGGTCGGGTCGCAGGAACGGTCCCGGTCATCTCCCCCATGGCAGAGCTCAGGGTCTCCACGAGGATTTTCGCCTGGTGCTTCATGGCCTCGCAGTTGTGGAACTGTTCCTCCATGAGGCTTCTCTGCGCGGCCAGGGCGCCGACGCGGGCGTACATCGGGTACAGGGCGCCCACAAGCAGCGCGCATGCCGTGAGGAGCGAGGAGTGTTCGGACTGCGCGCGGGACAGTTTTCCCCGGAGATCGGCACATTCCGCCTCCAGCCCCTCCTTCAGGGTCCCGGTGGCACGCACCTGCTCCCAGGCCTGGTCAGCCAGTGACTGGGACTTCTGCAAGGGTACACGTACATTATCACAGAGGAAGAAGCAAGAGGAAAATTTTTCAGTGGATCAAAAGTTGCAAAAAGTGTATGGCACCCTCGTCTCAATTAAAGGATCATTACGTTGTAAGGCCCCATGGATTGCTCATTTGTTGAAAAAGACTGGCGTTGGACAGTGAAAAACCAATCTGTTGGAAATTTACTTCAGTCAGTCTGAATCAGTCTGAATGAAATATTTTTAGTGTTTAGTCATCAAGGACGACTTCAGGACTCATCAAAGACTGGAGTTGGACATGAAAAACTCCAATTTTTGTATTTAGAAACTTTGCAGACAAAAATAAAAAGCTGCTGCCATTTTCAGCAGGTTTCAAGAGAGAATCCCCCCCCCCCACCTTGTTGTTAGACTGCATCTCCTGCAGCAGTGATCCGTAGTGCTGCTCCAGGTCTGACTTCTGCTTGGCCCAGCTGTCCTCCCTCTCCCTGCTGGCCACAGCCACCTTCTCCATACTCTTCTCATGGTTCTGCTGCAGGTGCACCATGCTCTCGTCTTTGTTCTTCACTACTGACTCCATGTGGCCCAGCTGGAGGGGGGACAGACAGGCAGGCAAATGTACGACTGTGCAGCTGTATTATGTTAGAGGACTTGGAAGGACTTTAATCATGTAACCTGGTAACCTGGTCTTGTTATTATAACAATATGTACATGTACAAAAGTACTTGTAGTGATGTGTACAGTATTGTTGTAATAATCTACAATGTAAAAATCAACCCAATTCAGATGTATCTTGTACTCCTGCCAGTTTATTTTACAGATAACGAAATTAAGCCTGTATCTTTGACTGTACTTTTTTGTCTGAGCCTGACATCTTCCCTCATGATCTCAGTGAAAAACAGCCATGAGGTCAGAGTACTGTAATTATGGGTTCACCACACCACGAAGTGGTGTGGTGAAACCATATTGCTTTTTCTGATGTTTCTTCTCCTTCTCCTCCTCCTGCCATATCTTTAAATGGATTCAGCTTCTTCATTTTAGGGCCTAAGGTCCTGAAATTTGGTATGGAGGTACAGTGGGCAAATACCCCTAGGCGTTTTTTAAATTATTGTGATACAGGCTTTTAGAATGGTTTTATTTGAGTTTTTTGGCTGTGTTATAGCAAATGTATTACTGTGTTAGTCTGCCTTGTTTACCACGTTTGGGCATGAGTCATCAGAATGGAATGCAGGGCATCAACCAATAGGCATGCAGCTTTCCTCTATACTTCTTGCTGATTGGCTGTTGGGATTTAACTTGATTAACACCTGCACAGAAGCATTTCCATACTGACAGTATGTCTGTATTCAAGTGTTTTGGTAGGTATTTCAAGCTTTCCTGCTCCAGCATTGGAATGCCGGGCATGGACGTTTTTTATTTATTTTGAAAATCAACAGTTTGCATTATGCAATTAAAAATCCTAACCAATAAAGTAGGGAATAGCTATCCAACTGTTGTTTTAGTTGTATTTTACTTCATATTATAGTTATATCAATGTAAATCATTGTTTTCCCTTGTGTTTCCCATTCTTTCCCTGCCATGTCGTAAAATGTGGTGAACCCATCGCTGTATTTGCTCCAAAGCAAATATTGGCCTTTCTAGTTCACTTTATGTTCACTGTAGCAAAATTTCACGGTCTGAGAAAAATGGGGATGTTCACTGTACTATACATTCACGGTGGTGACAGGTGCAGGAAAAAGAAGGTTCAGGAATTACCTGTTGACTGTAATGATAAGTTCACGGTACAGAAGTGACAGTGAAAACAGTGAACATAAAAGTACAGTGAACAAATCAGGAATTACAGTATTTTATGAATAAACATAGGCTCAAACAAACAATTGTCACACATCTACTGCAAACTGGTGGAACATGAAATAAAAAAAACAAACTTAGGATCATTTCCTAACTCAACTCGGGTGAAATGGAGTACCCATCTTCAGATAAGGATGTTCCTTTCCTTGTACCCACCCTTTCCCTGGTCCTGTGCAGGTCGGTCAGCAGACTGTCCACCTGTTCCTGGACCATGCTGGCCAGCTCCGGCCAGGAGAAGCGGCTGAGGGAGGGGTCAGACGACTCCATCACGACCCGGCCGGTCACCAGCCGCTGGTACAGCGTGTGCAGGAAGTGGATCTTATCCTGGGGGATAAGGTGGTGAGGTGGACTTGGGGTTAGGGACTCCCAGAGGTTGAGATCTATTTACTTTCATGGAGACTTCAAGGTACAACATGTATCATAAATTTGTGGCAGGTAGGTTACGACGAAAAGTGCAAAAATAAAACTTACTACTATGTGGCATAGTAAAGTTACCAGTGGATTGAACTGGATTTATTTAATTAATATATGTCAAGAGACATTAAAGCCAACTTACAGCATTCTCGTTCTTGTAGATTTTTGTCAGCTTCTGAATCTGAAAAAGAATACAAATATTGCAAGAGTTCACGACACATACTGTAATACTGCACAGTAAAATTATTCATACCCTCAGATTGACTGTTACCACCTAAGTATGTACATGTAGTATACAATGATCTCTAAACAGTTTTTAGCATGATCCATACTTCCTGAGTGGTGTGGGTAAAATTTGTCTGGTGCAGGTAATTTTCAATGCTACCTACACCAGCACAGGTGTGCAGAAAAAAGGATTTCAAGCCCTGGTCCTACAGTACCTCATCATTGAGCTCGTCACATTTCTTCCTCTCCTGGTCCAGCCTGTGCATGGCCTTCTCCATGTCAGCATGTACCGCCGCCAGCGCCGCCTCCTGTTCCACACGCTCACTCTGCACACGGGACAGCTCCTTCTTAGTGTTGGTCAGGCTGGCCTGGGTTTCCTGAAGTAAAGGGACAATCAATGTCGGAATACATGTACTAGTACCAGATTGGTAAACCTGAATCATTATGTATATATATATATATGTTCTCTCGTATGACTCTTGTTTGCTGTAACATGTTCCTGTGTGTGGTCGGGTAAGCAGACATGGGATGAAGAGGTTTTCTGGCATTCCCAGCTAGATGTTATGTCCATGGGAAAGACACTTTACACAATCTTTCTCATCATTCATTATCATCCACAGTGAACAGGTGTAAAATGGGCACCTGACTTTGAGTAGATTTTAGGATGGGCTTTGCCTTCCAATACCATGCCCATGACACATGGCCATTGGCCACAGACTCAAAAAAGGACTATGGGGCATTTACCTTTTACTTTACCTATTGTGGATGAGTTTCTGTTATTTTCTGAAAGACAAAAAAACTCAAACTCGCTTGTGAGAGTCCCATACCTCCAGTGCCTTGCTCCTGGACCACAGGTTATCCTTGTATGACTCGTTCTCTGACGAAACCTTCTCATAACTCTTCCTGAGTTTGTCCAGCTGTAAAAAAAAACTCACTATCAGCTCTAAACTTTTCAACTTCAGATTTTTTCATCCACCACTTGGTTAGCTAAAATAGGATGGATACCATGTTATACTTTTCTGTCCTTACAAACAGAAGCTACACAAGGCATTACAAACAAATAGTCCTCTAAAGGCCATCATGAAGCCTAATACTGAGACAGGGTTCGAAATGCAACATTATGTAATTTTTTCTCAGATTGCTCACAAGGCAAAATCTTGGTTGTTCATCAATATTTCAGGCTGCCATCAACAATGGCTGTTAATTCAAGAAGGCAAGCTGTAAGCCAGGCCACCTCTATCGCTCACATGCTGGCTGAGGTGGGACACAGTTTATATATTCAGAAGCCATAACTTTTGCGACGGTCAACCTGGCATTTCCAGTATGTCTCACAAAGAAACCATTAGCATTAACCGCAAGAGTTGGTATTTTGTACCTGACCCCTCACCTCATCCTGTGCAGTGTCCAGCCTGTTCTGGTAGTTATTATTATAGTATACAGCTAATATGTTAAACCTGACCCCTCACCTCATCCTGTGCAGTGTCCAGCCTGTTCTGGTAGTTGATGAGGGTGTGTCTGAGGGTCTCCAGCACCACCGAAGGAGATGTCGGCTTCCCCTTGTCCTTCTGTTTCCCCGACGCTTTCTTCCTGCTCGGCGGAGCGGTGGGCTGGTCGGGGCGGAAGTTGTCCATCAGTAGCTCCAGTTCCCGCATGCAGCCTCCGTATGTCTCCTCTAGGTACACCTGACGCTTCTTCGCCTGGAAATAGTTTCATTAGTTTCAGCAGGTTGGTAAATCAACATAGCACATCAGCACGGTCTATATGTTAAGTACTATGCAATAAGCTTTCAACTGGTCCTCCGATCCTTTTAAAATCAAAATGACCAGTACGTCGGCAGAACGTACTGCACCTGCGCAAAACCTGTAATGTAATGTGCATAGCACTTCTGCAGACCTTATAAGTTATAAGGTCGTATTTGCGTATATAAGACTATAACATCCAGTCTGCAGTTTCTAAATGTTGTGTTGGAAAAGGTATGTCTGCAACAGGCAAACTTCTGATGCAATGTTGACCAAACATCCAATGAAAATCGTGAAGAATCAGGGTTTTTTGCAGGTGCAGAAGAACTCAGGCCGATTTAAAAAAAGTATATCAAGAATAAAAAACTCCTTGAGCTCATCAAAGTTAGCCTGGTGCAGCTCCAGCTGTTTAGACATGCCAGTGATGGCTCAAACAAACAAACAACCAAACAAACAAACACTGACCCTGGCCAGTTCCTCCTTGAGCTCGTCAAAGTTAGCCTGGTGCAGCCCCAGCTGTTTAGACATGCCGGTGATGGCATCTTTCTTCTCCTCCAGCTCTGAGCTCAGCTGCTGCTGCACCGCTGAGAACTGTTGGTCTGACCTGCACACAGGAGTAACAACACACGTCAGCACCAACATCATCATCATCATCATTGATACTGCTCATCCCTCTAAGAAGAGGATTATTAGCAGCTGTGCAGATTAGTGACTGTGTGCAAACAAAGGGTAGGGTAGGGGTGGACGTAGACAAGTGCAAGGACAGGACAAGTGGAAATCAATGGTGTTAGTATTACACATATTTACATATGTACAAGGACAGGGAGGCAGCTCAATGCAGCGAAACCCGTCCCAGCTCTGCTTTGAACTGGGAGATGGACTTTGCCTCCGCCACACTAGGCTCATTAGTTCATTCCACTCCTTGATGGTGCGAGGGAAGAATGAGAGCCTGTAATAGTTGTTCTTACTCGCGATGGTCTTTAGAGAAGCATGTGCAGTCCAGTGGTTAGTGACTCTGGCAATGAGTTTGTCTCCTGGCTGTTGTAATTCACCCGACGTACTCTCCAAGCAGAGGTTTAGGCTTTGGGTTATTTTTGACATGTTGTAGATGTTTTTGTTGGGCTTTCTTTTTGTATTGGCATCTATTTTTACACCAGCCAATTTGATACTGTCTTGAAGCTACTAGTAACAGAACATCTCCTGGAAGTTACACTCAACATTCAATCACATTCAATCTGGTACAAAGATGCCTACTTGTATGCATGTTAAATTAGTACATAGTTTGTTTTTACACATCTTGCATGGGCTTTCCACAATACATACAAGACACGATGAAAAGAACAATATTCACCTTTCCAGCTGTTCCTTGTATTTGTTACAGGCCGTCCGTTCCTCTTCAAATGCTGCCTCAACCTCCCTGGAGAACAGACAAAAAATAATGGTGTTGAATGATTGACACATCTGTGTCTGTGTCTGTATAGTCAGTATAACCGCCCTTCGGCGTAACACACCAGCTTCTGTATATTATTCTGTATCAGTATAGCCGGTTTAACCGCCCTTCGGCATAGCTTTGCAGGCACATGGTGCAGTGGCAACTGGCTACATTAGACCGAACAACTTGTTACACCATGCTTGAACACTTGGCAAGTTAAAGTGTACTTCCTCCTGGAATTGGGAAGGCAGGATCCAGTAGACTATGACGTATCTCACCTGAGTTGTCTGGTTATCATCTCCAGATTCATGCTGGCATCAGAGTGAGCCGACTTCTCCACCTCAAGAGCGCCCTCTAGGTCTCGCACTCGTAACTGCAAGGAACACACAAAAAAAAAGCTACATGTAAACAAAGGCAGTTGGCAATAGAAATAGTCATGACACATTACATATTACATATTGTGCTCAGCTTTGGTCCAGCTACAGAGCAGGAAACATTCATAGGCTACGAGTTGCTTATCACGATGGTCTTAAAATCCTACTGTCTCAGCCTAGGAGCACTAGTAACAGCGACCAATTTGTACAGACTCGTGTCGACACGTTTGACGCCAGGCGTCGGAAGTTGTTGTACTCCTTTGCTTCGCGTCTGTTAGCGTCTGAGAACGCAATTGTCAAACTGCTACTCCACTGGGAGACCTTCTGCTCTAGTCCATTCTGGAGCCACTACTGTAGACTGGTCCGCCCACCGTAAGGGCTCGACAGTCTTTTATCTATTTTGAATCCACTTAGAATAGATGTTTTATTTTAGATGTGTTCGTGTAATGTTGTGTGTCTGTGCTATGGGCCATTGAGCCTGAAATAAACAATAAATAAATAAATAAAATAAATTAGTGCTCCCACAGCAAATATCAGCTTTAAAAATCTAGCATCTCTAAATCTAAAGAACAGATTTGGAGGTGCACTATCACGGATGACACTCAGTCACACACAAACTTAATCTCCATATTACCTGCACAATCTCTGAGTTGAACTTGGACTCCAGGTGAGCAGCTCTTTCTGCCTCAATGTTCTCCTCTAACTGCTTGATTCTCTGCTGCAGAGCCTATAGGAATAACAGGTAGATAGAATCTTATATACATGGATGGCCAGTCACTATAGACAGGATTCTTTAAGTTAATTCTTGTGTCAATGGGCAAAACTATGTATGGGACCACAAAAAAGTGGTCATATTGGAATATGTAGAGTCAATTACACACATGTCATGTACGTCCAGTGTATGTAGAGATGGTCACTTGTACAGGTTTGACTGTACAATGTAATATTTATTACAATGTAGAGATGCATGAACTGTTTTTAAACTTCTCTCAAAATATCTTTCATGATCAAAAAAAACTGCACCCTTCTACCACTCCTTTGGCCCAGTCTTATTATACTATTTTGAGAAACTGTAGAAACTGGGTTAAAAAAACAGACAATAACCAGTAGCATACTTCTATCTCCTTCTTTGCCCGTCCCTCCCTCTCTGCTCCATAGTCCAGGTCAGTGATCTGTCGGCGGATAGTGTCAGCCTGGCTGCCTCTCTCAGCTGCACACACACAGGATAAAATAACAATGTCACATTAACCCTTGTCCTGCTAGCATTTTTTAAACAATATTTTCAAATAATTTGATGTCTTAACCAGGTCATAGACCGTTGACTTTTTTGCCCTGCAGTGGTGTACAATGTAGTTACTTCTGCATTTGTTGTGTTTCGCTGAGATGCGATGTGTTACATCAGAAATACCCCCAAATCATACATGTACATACATGTAATTATACAGCGTGCTATATAGAACAGGACTTAAGCTTTATTTGTTTCAGCTTGTTTGAGCCTTTCTTTATTCATGAATACTGCTTTACTTAGTGTTATTTGCAACATTTAACCATTGACAGTCTCTTACCTTCAAGTTCCTTTATTCTGTCCTGGAGGTCAGAGTTTATGCTGAAAAATATACAAAGTTTGGTAAATATATACTACAGTCAAGCACTATGTTCTACTTTATAATCATGTTTCAAATTTCTTTTCAATCAGCACGATTGTGATCAAAGACAGTTTTCTCTGTGTCCTTACTTGTGCTGTTCCTCCAGCATGCTGTCCAGTTTATCCCTCTCCGCTGTCACCACGTCCTGTTCTGCATGGCAGTGGGCAATCACCTTGTCCTGGGGTCAAAAGTAACATTCGTCAGTATAAAAAACAATGAATATCATTCTGCATGTACTGTCAAGTCACTCGCTGTAGGTATTGCTTCCTTATTCTGAACGGCAGTGTAGCAGACATTTGCAGTTTCATTATTAGCCTTCTTAGCAGGCTCTCCAAGTCAGCCTTCTGGGGAGTTTTATGATGTGCTTTCTACTGATGGCATATCTGTTCTGGGTACATGTACTAAGTTTCTTGTGCCTTCAGAAAAAAGCACACTACAAAAAATATAAACAAAAGAAAAGAGCCTGACTTGTAGAGCCTGCTATGAAGGCTATTCAATGTATAGACCTTTTCTTCCATGAGCAGCCTGTGTTGAGTCTCCTGTTCTGTGGCCTGGATCCGGGCTATCTTCAGAGCACTGTCCAGGTCATCCACCTGTCTGCTCAGCTCGGATACTTGTGCTGAAATGTAGTAAGAGAGACCAGAGAGGCTAAGTACAAGTAAGTACAAATATACTACAGGTAGGTTAAGGGTATTATAGTATTAAGATAAGGGTTAGACTCTTAGAGTAAACAATTTGGACAGAGCTTTTATTTTCAATGCTTAAGGTTTGGAAAGTTATCAAAAGTGCTCAAAGGGAAGGGGCTTTCACAACGTTTTAATTTCATGGTTGAAACAATTCTGGGTACAGAAGTGGTACACAGGAAGTGCATATTTGCTGTGTCATGAATTCATGTGAAGATACATTGTAAAACCACTGCAAACTTGTAAATTTTTTACAGTAACTGCGTACCCCTGAGGTCGTCATTACTGCGCAGGATCTGCCCCTCCTTGTCCTCGGCCTGTCTCTTCTCCTGGCTGATGTTCTTCCTGGCCACGGTGAGTTCGTACTCCAGGTTCTGCCTCACCGCCTCACCTTTCTCCAGCTGAGCTCGCAGTCGCGCCACCTGGCTCTGTAGGCTGGTCGTCTGGGAAACAGAACAAAACAAAACATTTTCAGATTATTCCTAACACCTCAGGAAGGCCTGGTGGAGACTTAACAAAATTCACATATTCATATCCTTGTCAATTGAGATGTAAAAGTGTAACAGTAACAACATGAACATTGTAACTTTTTCAGGCATTCATTGTACTGTGCTGAGACACATGATTGTGTAGGACAGTGCCATGATCCCCTTACCTGGATGCCATCCGTTTTGTAAAAGGGCTCCTTCTAAAAAAACTTTTTCAGACCAGCAAGTGCAAGGAGCCCTTTTACAATGGCACCCGAGCTAAAGAAACACTTTCTTAAATAAAAAAAGTCATCGTTGTGTCCTGCGGTGATATCCACAAACCTTTGTAAAAACTGAAAATCTGCAACTTTCTGTTTTCTGGAATCATCATTCTTACCTCTTCATTATACCTGCTGGCCGTCTCCAGCTTCTCCCTCTCCAGGACGTTGATGCGTTTCCTGAGCTGCGCCACGGTGTCAGCCTCGTTCCTGTTCTCCTCCTGCAGCTGAGAGATCTCCGCCCGCAGCTGCCGCAGCTGCTCCTGCAGGTGCGCCATGTCCTCCATACCTACATGTACATGGCAAGACATTGAATTCCCATGCAGGCCTCTAAATTAACTAATTTGTTCCTAAGTGTTGGAAGTTAAAGCTTAGTCTTTATTTCATAAGGAATCCTTATGAAATAAAGACAAATAAAGCTTTAACTTCCAACACTTAGATTACAGAATTGGGACTTACCCAAACTTTTGTTCCTATTGTCCCAGCACTGTCCCCATTCGTACAATAAATTTCAATTGTTCCAAAATTAGGATGAACTGTCCCAACCTGTTTTTCCGGTAAGTATTGTATGACTGTCTTCAACTTGAAGTCAACTTTATTTTGCTTATGTTCACTCCCAGGCACACTATAGTTGCAGAGTAGATGTAGCAAATTTGGGGGCTTTTCTGGAGCCAAAAGCCGGGACGTGTGCCTGATAAACAGAAGAAGGGCTGACATTCTTCTGATGTTGATTATTGTTCTATTGTCCCAAAAATGTCCCAAAGTGTCATTTTAGTTGTCCTGGCCTAAATTTTAGTGGTCAGTGGCCATCACTAGTAATTTTGAGCCCTGCCCATGGGTGCAATAATTGTAATAAAATTGAAGTGAATCTGGCTACGTAAAAATCTGGTAAGATTTGGTGTAAGATTCCAAAATGTGCCAAGTTTTTCTATGTCCAGTATTTGGCCACTACTGTCCATACCCAGTCCCGGGGACACAGCAGTCCGCCTGGCAGATTCCGACATAACTGCAGGCTTGCGCTGCTGCAGGCTGCCTCTGGGGCTCAGCTCACCTTTATGTCTCTGGGGAAACAAAAACGGATCAGCAATTGTTAAATCTTTGAAAGACATCTAGAAAATAATTTAGGAGAAAAAAGTAATCCATATTATTATTATTATATTAGATATGTGCAGAGATATGTGCACAGTTTGTGTGTGCTATAGTATTAGTGCCATGGTATGCATAGTACTAGTACATGCACCTGCTTACACACATCAGATAGTGAGTGACAGTGCCTTGAGCTTGTTAGTATACGTGCTCACGGTAGTTACTTAGTTAGTAGTGAGTGTTAGTACACCTGCCTGCTGTAGTTAGTAGTTAGTGAGTGATAGTGCATTGTTAGTACATTTTGTAGTTGCCCTATTAGTGCAGTTAGTGTCAATGATTGTTAGTATATTGAGTTGCCTGCTGCCCCTGTTACTTTTAGTACAGTGATGTTATTGTTAGTAGATCTACATGTACTAGTACATGCATATAGCAAGTGGCCTGCAGTGTTAGTACACAGTGAGTGAGTGGCCACTGGGCCATGATGTTAGTACCTGCCCCGATCCCAGGGCCTCCCCTCCCCCGATGCTTGCCTGTGACTGTGATGTGACAGGAGACCGTGTTCCAGAGCCGGGTCTGCTGCCCCCAACACTAGCACTGCTGGGTGGGCGGGGCGAGCTGCGAGTGGACATCCCAACTTACCCTCCTGATGTATTGTGTAAAATTATTACTGTTATTCCACACTTGAGATGAATGTAATACACATACAATAGACAAAATCATTCTTGAACTAAGTTGTAGTACAGAGAGCTGAAAATTATGTAGTTACATGATTCTACGGGCACGTGTGGAAGGGGCGAGCTGCGAGTGGACATCCCAACTTACATACGTGTACCCTCCTGATGTACTGTGTAAAATTATTACTGTTATTTCAACTGAGGTGAATGTCACACACATACACATTATGTCAAAGGGTTACTTCAAGACAAAACCGTCCTTGTAACACACTGACCTGAAAATTATAAATCTGTAAAAAGTTACATGCTTTGGTTCAATGTGTTTGTGTGATTTGTGTAATAGATGTATGTATGTTTAACCTGGGTTCCATCTGTGAATGTTGTACCCTCATAGGTCTGGCGAAGATTGGACGGAACAAGTATATAATTTATATACTTGTTCCGTCCAATCTTCGTCCAATCTTTATATTATAAAGGAACCCAGGCGCTAGGCTAGTATACTTCTACTAGTACTATGTCCTGATCATGCAGTACAACTGTAGTAAGTTAAATATTGATTTACAAACATGCTACTGACTAAACTATACCGATACCACTGCTGTTTAAATGCACATGTAACTCGATCTATCTCGGCAAGAATCACAACTATCCTCTGCTCCATATAGCTTCCATATACCCGGATGTTTACAAGGATCTTTCACAGTTTCATACAGAAGTGGGGAGGGGTGCTGTCTGAGCAGACAGTAATTTCTTACCTGATCGAAGAAAGCACAAAGCCAAGGACGTCTGAAGATGGTTTCCGTGATCCCGGCTACAAGCGAAAACCCTCCGAATTATCCCGGGGATTAACAAGATCTTTGTTTGTACACAAAAGAGAAATTTACACGGTAGAAAAGTAATTCCCAACGGTTGCTTGGCACGCCATTTTGAAACTCCCGGCCAGAAATTTGTAAGGTGACCTCTGATTGGTAGACTTTTGGGGCGGGCTTTCCAAATGGACCAATCAGCGCGTACAATAGATACCTTGTCGTTGTATAGCGATGTGCATTGTGGGATATATTGTGCTGTCTGTAGTTTCCGGGTTTGTAACTTTCGTCGTTTGGTCGTCTCGGAGGTAAGATTTCTCTATATTTCTTCTCATTTAGTGTACTTTTATGCCACTCGTCGGTACATTTTCGTCTCGAATATGTTTGTTCATTTGTCTGGGACAGTGGGGGAGGGTTCGGATAGCTCCCAACTGCTTATTTATCAGACAAAGAGAGATTTGTTATGACGCAAAAAGACAGATGTGGTTAGTGGGGAGGGGGGTGTAAACTTGGGGGAAATTTGGAAACCAAGCGACTACGTGCATAAAAATTATAGTACATTTAGAAGTTAAGCATACTCAACCATAACATAGGAACATGGGGCAAGGAGGCTCAATTCTATTCTGATTATAAGATGCTAGGAAGAGATAAAAGCCACGCTTGGACTTGAAGGTTTTACCACCACTATAAATTTGTGAGGAATATGGATTTTTATTGATGCCCTAGCCTAGAAATAGGATTTGTCGGAAAATAGACCTGATATCATTAATATTAATGGTGTCATCATAATGTCATAAAAATTTGCATAAATTACTGTCTTGCATCAAGACATTTTCTGACAATACCTCAAACACAATCAAGATTCAAAGTCCATACTAGAACAACACTAACTTTTATATCTGCTTTTATCCCACAAGTCTAGGAGAATCATGTCATCAGCCTACGACACAGTTCAGAAAGGCAGCCTCAAGCTGAAGGGCACTGACAATGGCGGGATCAAGAAAAAGAAGAAGAAGAAGAAGGAAAAGAAGCGGATCTTAGAACAGATCACCAGCAAGGAGGCAACAAGTGAGGAGGGAGTGGAAAGGAGCAAAAAGGTTGGTTTTGTCACGGAAGGATAGCCTCTACATGTATCAGGCTTCAGAGGTGACTGGAAAGAGTAGACATTGGCCAAATAGACAGAATAACATTCCAGGGGAGTTAGTCTACTTAAGGAGTACAGCTTTCGGAGTGGCCATTGCCAAGGCTATACATCAACAACATATAGCTTTTGGCTTAGGCTGCCCAACCAGGTTACAAAATATAGAGACTTTTCAATGCAGTGAAGAAGAACAGCCTTTATCATAAAGGCTTCACCTTCAGTGAAACATTAATTTGTACATAAATTGTGTACAAATTAATGTTTCACTGAAGGTTATGTCCTACTAAAACTTGATGGAATTATAACCCAATACTAGTAATAGATCAGTCACATACCAACCAGTTAGTTACCTTCAGTCGCTGAACCTGTAAAAATTAAAAGAATCTGACTTGTTCATTTTATTCCGCTTAAGACGCTGTTTATGCTTCGCTGATTTTATCTTGTAAGTTTGTAAATGTTTTTAGATTTGGTTGTGATAATGGTTATGGCTTATGCCTTTGTTTTAATGAAACTCATGGAAACAGCTCCCGTGCAATTCAGCCTCTGGCTGCCAGGTGGGACTGGATGTATAAATAATATATTGTAAATATGTGAATAATTGAATAAACCATTATTATCATGCATGTTCAAAAACTTGACTGTGCAAAATGTCTCCCCAGGTGGACAACCGGACGCCGGCACAGCGTAAGTTTGCGGAGGTGCAGGAGAGACGGCAGATGGAGCGGGTGATGAACAAGGCGGCGTTGACCCACAAGCAGCGCGTGGAGTCATTCAACAAGCACTTGGACAAGCTCACGGAACACTACGACATCCCCAAAGTCAGCTGGACCAAGTAGACGTGAACTGGACTGTCTGGAGTGCTGCCAGTGCTGACAGAAGCTTTTAGAACCGTTTAGGGGTTTTCTTTTACACAACCAAACTATTCCCTACCTTGCTTACATTTCAGTGTCTATCAGGCACCTTCCTCAGAGCTTCTGACTGGAGTTCTGCTTCTCGACACTATATGTAGCCAATGTACAATGTAGGTGGTGCTTTTGCAGTTAGAACACAATCTCAAACGTCCCAATCCCAAATGTACATGTAAGCAGGGTAGGAATAGTTTGGTTGTGTAAAGAAGACTGACCCCTATATCCTTTACTCTACTAGCCTGATGAAACTACATGTACTTTCAGAAGCTTTTAGAACCATGCAGTAATCAAACAGTCCATTAGGGCTGCCTGTGGGTCCACCTCTGTGTCTGTGATGGTATTCGTTTGGCCAATTGCCCATGCAGTTGAAAAATACAGCTGTGGATTTTCTATCCACCTCCTATTGTACAGATAAACATGTCATATACATTGTGTACTAGTAACACTAGAAAATGGACTCAGTTCTTAGATCTTCTCCGAGTGTGTCATCAGTCCTTCCATGAGGGCTGCCAGCTGATCAGTGTTTGCAAATAGCTGTGGGCTTAGAATATAAAGTACTAGTAAGCAGAAGTTTTCATGCAAACCTGTGTGTTGTTGCAGTCTTTATGTCTACCATTGTGTAATGTAATTATAAGCATTTCTATGTCATAAAACATTTCGCTAAGAACTGCAACTAGGAACAAAAATGCCTCCAGTCAATGTGAGTGACTGTATATCTGAACTGTACTGCTTAGTCTTTACACCTACGTGTACCTCGCTGTAAGCTGTATATCATTTCAACTTTTTAGTATATGGCTGTAATCAATCACTCACTGTCCAGACCAAAGTGTAATGATGTTTATGGTAAGAAGAGTACAGTACTACGGTTGTACATGTATATGTGTTATCAATGTGGAGGCATCTATAACAATGCCTAATATGTAACTGTTGATACTACTAAGTAAAGTCTATGTTGGTTCTGTTACGTAGATAAACTTTTACAACATCCCACACAAGCACCCACATAATGTCTCACCATGTACATGTAACATGGAACTGACTGTGACATTTTAACTTATTTTTTAAGGTTAATGGCTATATTACAAGGTGATTGACATTATATCTCAGTCTATTGCCATCTCTGTTTATATTTCATCTTTGCATACATTGTACTTTCGAAGTAGGGTAATAGGCCCACTCATACAGAGTCATGCTACCTTGTTGTCAGTAACAGTGTCACTACATTGTTTATCAAACTACATCTGGAAACAAAACCACATAGCTACATGACTTTCAGCCTCCATTAGAACTGCAGCAACAAGCATGATATACCAGTAATGATAGCACTCGGTGGAGATTTTGTGAACTGAATGTTCTCGAGTAAAACTGTGACCAGGCAGGTAATGAATGATGTGGTTCAACTCTGTGATTCCCAATTGGCTGGAAGCAGATAGATACTTGCATGATACATTGATGAAGTATTCTCAGTTCACTTAAAGAGTCCTTCAAAAAGTTCACAATCTCACCCAGAAACAAATACAGTGAAAAGGGGGCCTTAAACAACACCTAATCTGCATCCTGCTCGTCCCGTCCCTCCTCTCCCGACCCGGAGTCCACGAAATCCAGCTGGTTCTGCCCGGTGTCCGGTCTGTGCTGCAGTTCCCCGTCTGTCCGCTGGGGGGCGGGCTGCTCCGCCGGCTCGTCCGTCCCCACCGCCGTTGTCATGGGAACGTGAGCGTGCGCGCGCTCGCCGCCGAACACCGCCCGCTGCAGTTCAACCACCTCCCGCCGGAGGTCCGAGAACATCAGCTGCAGGAACTCAAAAGATCCCGGAGCACCCTAAAGTAAAAAAGAAAAAAAAACATCCTTGAGAGCAAAATTTTAAATGGAAAGCTGCAAATACGTCTCCATCACTTTAAGTTATCAGTTAAGACGGAACGTCTTTCGAGTGATCAGTTAAGATGAAACGTCTTTCAAGTGAACCTGCTGCAGACTAGCACAGTATTTCGGCATGTGGTCGACGAAAGGCATGCTTAATCTACATCCATATCCAAGCGGTTTTGTAACTTTAATACAGAATGCTGAACCGATTAACAAACGTACGGGTAGTCCTCTTGGTCCTGGAGTTCCTCTCTCACCCTGGTAAAATTATGAAAGAAAAACAACATTTTTTTTCTTTGGTTATGCTGGAAACGTGATGCATAGGGAATCTATTAGTATTTTCAGAAATGTAACTAGCAAATAATGAACCAGCATCATGTAAAGCAGTTTGAATGCAAGGCGTTACTTCACAGTATCTTTTACCCTCACCTTTTGTCCCTGATTCCCCTGTGGGCCAGTTTTTCCCTTCAGAAAGATGAGAAAACAGACAGGCTTACTGTTTCGTTATTTTGAACGGAAGGATCGGAAACTAGAGTTCCACGATCTCATACCTTCGCCAAATGATGTTAGCCTTTATGAATAAGAAATATACTAATCACCCAGATTATGCAAATAGGATCCTCAATTGCATGAATTATATCAGTCTGTTGATCATATTCTCCACCAAAAGACAGTCTTATCTTAACAAAGAATGCCATTTTCTCATAAATTATGCAAATGTGGTCCTTATTTGAATAAGTTATGTTTAATTATGTTCACCTTCACTTAACTTTCAAACACCCCAAGTATGAAACTCCAGGCAGTTACCACTATGCAATTATAACATTTTCTTATTAATTATGCAAATTAAGTCTTCATTTGCATAATCGATATTTGCCTGTGTTTCTCTCGTTCTTAATAACATATGTTACAAGCTTGAACTTCCTATCATGGAATGCAGCTGATTTATAGAATTTCCTCATTAATTATGCAAATTACATCAATATTTGCATAATTGTAATATCATTATGTCAAGCATCACTTAAGCTACCTACATACCAAAAATCACGATGATCCATCAATCGGTTCTTGAGTTATCCTCTTTTAAACATTTGTCCTTTAAACCCCCCTGCAGTTCTAGAGCAAGCAACTAGGGGGCTCATACTCATGTCACTTCATCCCCAGCACAAGAGCTATCTACCATCTAAATTTCGTCACCCTAGCATGTCTGGATCATGAGATATCAAAACCGGAAGTTCTGCTGCAGTACCATGACAAGCCGCCAGGGGGCCCAAAATCTAATCATTTTGAGGTCTCATCAAGACCTACCCACCTACCAAATATCAAGTCAGTCCATTTAAGCCTTCTCAAGTCATCGTGTTTACACACACACACACACACACACACACATACACGAACGCCTCTGAAAACATAACCTTCTTGGCGAAGGTAATAAAGCACATATCACATAGACAATATTGGCAAAATAGGCAATATTCTAAATAAGCAAATGCTTCAAAGAAGTTTGGCTGTGATACGCACGATCGGTCCCCTCCTTCCTCGTTTTGGCTTGGCCACCGGTCCGGCT